AGAGAGAAGACCAGTCTTCAAACAGTATTTTAAATGTAATTTTTCGTTTGCATAGTTACTTCCCAATTTTGATGGCACTTACTTCTGTAGGGTGGCTGTCTTCCAGCCAGGAACCTCAGAATTAAAACCACTTGAACGACCAGCCCACCAAGTAACTCTTTTCCCTGTTACATGGCTGCAGGTTAGCTCACATCAATATACCAGCACACAGGAAAATCACTGCAGTGCTATAAAGTCTCAAAAACATGGGTAAGAAGTCCAAGGCTGCGACATTTCCACTCCTTCAGGTCTTAGACGGGGAGCTAACGTATGCACCCAGGGGACTCTGCCTCGGAAAATACTCTCAGTTTTCGAAGACACAGCACGAGTTTTTGCACAGCCTCTCCTGTTCCCCTCTTCTCGTTCCTCCCACTAGACGGACGGAGGGATGGAGGGATGGCGGGATGGCCTCGACCCATCACCCAGGGACTCACACTGGCTCCAGTGCTGCCAGACCAGGACGGGAGGGAAGGCCACTCGCCCCAACAGCACGGCTTCAGAGCCATCCAAAGTGGCCCGAAACGACTAGAAGCAAGATCTACCCGTTGTGTCATCCCCTGCTCGCTGAAGAGCCCAAAAACCCAGGTGCTTTTCTTTGCTCCCAACCAAGTTTTATTGCTTTCGTTGTTATTTCCTCAGAGAACTATTTAATTAGTTGAGAATGCCAACAGTGCATAGATCTTATGCTTAAATTAAACAATAGCTTAAATAATGCTCTGGGGAGGTACTTTTCCCAGCCTGTTATTTTTAGGTATCTCGGGGAGCGCAGCACACTCTGCTACCACACTGGCAACAGAAAGAGGAAGAGCGAGAATGTTTTTCTCAACAGATTTTAACTCAAGATCTGGCCAATGATTAGGAGCAAAACTGAAATAACGAAATATGATGGGTCCACAAGTAGAGAAAACAAGCAGCAGAAAGCATGATTCATTGCCCTAAAAAAAACCAAACCGCTCTTAAGCTCTTCTCACCCCTAGCTCGTCGTTTTTTTCAACGGAAAAGTTGTCACTGACAAAGCCGGAGGAAACGGCAGCCGGAACGGTCAGGAGCACGTTTCTCTCTAACTGCAGAAAAGTCCCTCCCCGTGGTTGGAGGCTGCCTGTGCAGAAGGGACTACAAAAGAGACCCAATGCTCATCTGCTCTGGAAATTCAGCTAAAAAGCTACCAGAAGATGCCTCGGCTATACTTAGCTGCAGCAGTATAAAGGGAGCAGATGAGAAGCGAGAGAGGCCCTCACAAGACGCGCGTGTGTAGGAAGAAGCACTGATGCAGATGGCAAAATGCTCACCCTGGCTGGGAAGACCTCCAGCTCGGAGCCTGCTGATTTAAGAGGATAGAAGAGACAGTTAAATGAATCACTCCAGAAAGATCATCCTTCACTACACAAAAGTGGGTGGTAAATAGGAAAAAAAACACGTTTGTAACTCGTTACGTCAACTACAAGTTTTTTTAATTGGTTCTTTTTACAAGTGTTATATTTCGAGAAAATAAAACAGAAATTAGATCCAGCTTCAGGGGAAAAATCTCAAGTTACTTACAAGGCAAGGTGAAAAGCTTATATTGCAGCATGACCAGGGGCTGGAACAGCAAAAATGTATGTTCTGTTCTCATCTTGCCCCAAGACCTGAACCCAACAGCTCTGTGTAACAGATGAGGAACTGAGAAGTTTTTCAACAAACAGGCACGTCCCACCAGCTTCCAAAGCAGTCATCAGAGAACCCAAGGCCAAATCTAAGCCAGGACCCGAAGCTGTAGGATGCTTTACCGTCACATTCCTGAATTTCTAAGCCAGCTTTACTCACTGCCTACCAGATAGGTACAATTTGTCACAAAGTCTGGCGTCAGTAGCTGAACTATAACTGGCGACGAGCTCACTCCAAAGCGTCTGACTTCAATAACCAGGCTAATCCTGTTCTAAAGCAATATTATGACCTAATTCACTCCCTTTAACACTTGGCCGTGGCTCACCCTGCAGCAGACCCTGATCCACTCAGCAGCTCCACAGCTCACAGCTCCCTTCGGAGCTGCTCCCTGCAAGCAGAGCTTCTGCCCTCCACACGAAATCCCAACGTGGTGGCGAAGCCGAGTAGATTTCCTCGTGCAAATTACAGATATAGGGATACCAGAAAATGGTTCTCCTTTTTTTATTTTTTCTTTTATTCTAAAGCAAATGCATAATCTGGTGTGGTAGCAAACAGGATGTGGTAAAAAGAAAAGCAGCTAAAGGTGGTTACGCGCTCGGCTTCAAGACAGGCTGTACTTCCCCAAGCAGCTTCTGCTGTGGAGGAAGCAGCGTCTGCGGGAACAGGCGGCTGCTGGGCAATTAAGCGCTGCCAGAGCTTTTTTCTGGGTGGTTCTATTATCTTCATGTCCTCTGACTCATTAGGCGATTCTTAGAGAGTTCAAGATCATTCTGGAGCGTTGCTCCCGTGAACAGCCATTGCCATCTTCAAGAGATGAGAGCAACCTACTCGCCCTGATGAAGAAAAAAGATGTAAACAGGACAGACACTTGTTTATGCAAATCCTGTGATGCCCCCAGGCCATTTTCATCCCCGAGGAGCTGCTGCCAGCTGCTTGCTGATGAAGTTTCCTGCTCCTATTTTGATCCTAAGGGGCAAAAGACAGGTTTTGGCTTCCAAGCCCGAACTGCCCCTGCAATTCCCTGCAGTTGCACACCTGAGGGAAGTCAACCTGGAAACCAGTTATCCTAAAAGGATTTAAGGGCTCATTAAGGATAAACACCTGCAACTGCTAAAAGCAGCACCATAATTAGACATACTTGTAGGAAAACATCCAACAGGAACCACTCGATAAAAGACATCAGAAAGACTTGTATCAGAGACCTGATCAAAGCCCTGGGTTTTACATTTGAAAGGATACTGAAAAACAGAAGGAAAAAACAAAAAATCACGACAATGACTTGGAGCTGCAAGAAAGAACTGCGGTCCAGAAGGGAAAAAAATGAAGAAAAGGTTAACAGTCCTACATTGCTTGCCAAAGGGAAAAATAGGTAGCTTGATGAAGTTTTATAATTAGTATAAAGGGATAAAGCATTGTCTGCTAGACGGCTTTATTACAAGAAAATAAAGGCACAGGAAGAGCCGGCAGCAAGGGGATGAACCTGCAGTATCACAGCCCGAGACCAGGGACTCGTCTGACCCAGGCTGAGTTCTGGCGACCACCCCAGACCTGCACCCACGGGTCCAGCCTCAGCCCCACGTACAACAAGGTAACAACAAGGTGATTAGACGCTTAATTACCTCAACACATTCATTTTCACAGCCCTTCTGCATCATGCTCGCCTAAAACTGAAGGTACTTTACCACAAGCAATTATGCTAATGCCTGGAAACAGAACTAATTTAATGGCAAAGAATAAGCCAGAAAACGCAGTAAAATTTAAATGAACAGCCACAGGAAAGCAATACAATATTTTCCAGTGCTATGCAAAGTCTTCTGTTAAGAACAGTCGTGTTTAACCTCTTCTTCCTCAATTCTAAATTCTACTTCAGAAGAAACCAGCTTCAGAAGTAACCGAAACTCCAGTAAAGTGGTCACAGAAGAGCTCCTTGTTTCCAGGTAACAGAGGGCAAGTCCTGCTATGACTATACCAAGGCGGGAGGAAGAGAAAACCTCTCTGCACATCCGTGAATGGTGCATCTTGAGGTCTGGGCAAGAAACTGATAGGTTAGGGAAACTCTGGGCTCTAGATTTCCATTTTGACGGCTCAAATCTACTGGACAAAGATTCTGCAAGCTCCTCATGAAATCCACTCCCCTGCTTTACTACTAAAACGGTTTTACTCATATCCAGATATTTTTTAATTCACATGCGAAGCCCCTGGAAAACTGACTAACCTCCTAATTTCGCCAACAGTTTTTCTGTTTCTGAAGACTGTTCAACCTCGCTTCTCCCTTTCATAGCCTACGTAACAACTCTATTTCCATACTTCCTCACAGGTCATATTTAGCAGTCTGCTAAGTAAGGTCTGCTCATTCCCACTGCTCTTTTCTGGACTCTTTCCAGCAGGTCCATGTATACTTTGTAGTCCAGTGCCAGGACGGACACAAATTCTGCCAAAGGAGGATTACTTCACATGCCTCACTGGCTGCAATGCTGATTTTACATTCGATCGTGTGATCTGGCTGAGCCAACGCAGCTACGGCTCACGGTAACAGCCAAGTCAATTAAAAACATCAACCTGAGCAGTGGCTCCCCACCCTGTATTTCGGTGATTTCTCCAGCACGGGTGCACTGTTTGTTTTGACCGAGCAGCACCGCATTTTTTTCCAGCTCTCCTCCTCTAGTTCATGGAGATTTTTTGCGATTCTGTCCTCGTCCTCGGCGTGGTTACAGTCTTCCTCAGCACGTCTGCAGAATACAGAGCTTCTCCAGCCCAGTATTTGCACTGGTGACCAGAAAGCTGCCCTGACTCCCTGGATACCTCCTCCCACGGCCACACGACAGCACCAACAACTGCTCCTCAAAGCGATTCTCCCAACAGCTCTGCCCCCCAACACCCAGCACTTGCCCCCAGTTCCTAGCAGGAACACCATGCCAGACCCCCAGACGACACGTGTGGTATCTTTGCTACTACTGCTGCCTTATCAACAAGGCTTATTACTCGGCAGAAGGGGAAAAAAAAAAGTTTAACTGATGTGACACATTATATTGTTGACAAGCCCATACCAAGTAATATAATTTTCTCCTCGATGTTTCCAAATAATTCAATTATTTTTCCAGTTGTTTTCCAGAACATGAAGTTAAGTTGACAGATTGCCTTGCTTCATCTTCTTCCCTTTCATAACATTTCATTTTATTGAAGACCTTTGTTATTACTAAGTCCTCTCTATATTCCAGTGTTCTTCAGACCACCCACAACACGGATTTTTCAGCAGTCATTACAGAGAAGGGGCAGGCAAGCCAATCTCAAAAACATCTTATTGAAATACGACTTACCAATTTTCTGATGAAAGATCTTGTCAAAGGTTAATTCACCCCTTTCCTCAAGGTATTTCTGCATAACACTGCGGATACTAAAAGGAAAAAAAAAAAAAGTTACTTGGGATGGCTTTAACACACTTTGGAGAAAAGCACCACTATAAAGAAACATGGTTGTAAAAGACTCACACAAAACGCGCTAGCACTGCCCATCTGTGATTCGATGATCCCCGCACAGCAGCCCACCCTCCGCTCTACCTAAAGGCTGTGAGAGTTCACTGTGCTGCAGGCACTAATGCTTTTCCTCATTGTAACACTGACACTGTTCAGTGCAGAATGGCAGAAATGAGAGTGCTTATTCCGTGCAGAAGAGACATAGCTTTTGCATTTCAAGCTTAACATACCAACAGCCTACACCCCACGGTGTGACGGTGCTAGAACTCCCCTTCCAGAATCTACACTTATTAGATAAGGTCTGAAAATACCACAACTGAGCAAAAAAAAAAAGTCACCCGTGAGTGCATATGGCTCCCTTCACCGCGTGCTCTGCAGAAGGGGGAGCACAGCAGTTTAAGAGGGAGCTCCCAGGCTCTCCCTGGTTTTCAGCCCAGCTGGGTGCGTGTGCTTGGGTGGGAGGGCTGCATGGGGCTGGAGCACCGAACGCGGCGTGTTTTCCCTCAAAACCAGAGGCCCACAGGCAATAACAGGTGGAGGCCCGGGATCACAGCAGTTCCCCGGGACACTCTGCTCGGTGCTGCCTTCCTCCATCCTTGCATCAGGTTGTAGCTTGCACCACGTAAAATCAACGTGCGAGTCACTGCAAGCTCCACCAGGCTGTGAACGCCGCAACGGTCACGGATCAGTTGGAAAACGAGCCAACACGGGCTCCATTAGGCCCCCGGCTTGGCTGCAGTGCACTTAACATCTACTTTGCCTAATTTATAATGGCACAATCACTTATTTAAACCACATTAACACAGATTTCCTTTATTCGTCAAGCAACTTCAATATTCATTTTAATATAATGCCTATAAAAATTTCATATGGGCAACAATACAAGTACATAAATTTCAAAATCAATGTAGCCCAGCAGTACCGTGCCTTGATAAAACAACTATGTTGTCAGAGTATTAAGTCAAAATTCCACTAGGCTACTTCTGTTTCCAATTTTAAAATTGGTATTTTCATATGTACTATTTATTTTTATAAAAATAACCCACAAATACCCTGTACAGAGTACTCATGCCCTAAAAAATATTCTTAAATAGCACTCACATTTCTGCAGAAGTAAGTCAGAGCACCTAAGGCTTGTAAAATATGGACTCAGAACTACTTCTTCACGTCAGAAAAAAAACCCAACAGGTCAGTTCTCATGGACAAATTTTAACAGTTTCTGGGGAAGAAAAGCCAGATTTCTAGCCCCTGCAAAGGGCTGAGATCATCCTCTCTCACGTGCTCACGGGGACTCCATCCCCAGAGCTTCTGCCAAAATCTCAACCTCCATCGTCTTTGAGAGGAAAGTCCGTGACTCTCCTCACACAAGGGCGCAAGGCTTGAAGTCCTTGAAGGCTTGATTTGACCAGAAAAAAAAGCCTATCATAAAAGTCAAGAAATTAGCTTAAAGGCCCTGAACCCCTCAGGCTAGGAAATTACTCTGTTAATAGTTTTTATGCATATCTCAAACACCACATGGAGCACAGATCTCGGGGCGCCTTGATCCAAAGCGAGAGCTCCGGAGGCTCACCACCACATCGAGTTACACAAGAACTGGGAGGGCAAACGCTGTTAATCAGGTTGGAGATGATAAACTATTCAGTGATGAGGCTAGTCTTTTTATTTGTTCATTAAAAACTAGGCCTAGTCTCTGTGTGTTTTAACAATCTAAACAAAACGCTGACTTCGAACCAAGAGGAAGCAGTAAATAGAGGTCGCGTTCTGTACTCGGGAAAAGCAAGGTAGTAAAATAAAATTGATCACATAATTGACAGAATTGCCCAGCTTAGCTGCCTGGCAGATTTTTAAAAAGGCAGGGTGAGCATCATAGAATCATAAAGGTTGGGAAAGAGCTCGGAGATCATCCAAGTCCAACTGTCAATGTGACACCACCATGACCACCAAACCACGTCCCCAAGTGCCATGTTTTGAACACCTCCAGGGCTGGGTGTTCCAGCGCTGCCCCTGGCACCTGTCCCAGGGCTTCACCGCTCGCTCAGTAAAGAAATTTGTGCTAATCATAGAGTAATCATAGAACGGCCTAATATCCAACCTAAACCTCCCCTGGTGCAACGGCCAGGACCCTCCCACTCCTGGGCCTCCCGCCGGCGCTCCGGGCACTCACTGTCGGCAACGGCTCGTTCCCACTGCCCGCCAGACCATTAGTAACATAATAAGCCTTTCTAATAATAATGACATCAAGAAAGCTTTCCTCCGCTCTAACAAGTGCACTGCAAGAAATTACATAAACATATCTTAGTCTAGACAACGGGAGAAGATAATGAAAAATTTAACGTATGACTGAAGTGTCCAGGAAAACACTCCGGTTGTGTAATGAACAAATCTCCGCAGCACTTCTCCTCCTCTGCCCTGACATCTAGTACTTCTGGTCTGATGGATAACATGGCAAAGGAACAAAACGTTTTTTAGAGCAACAGAATTTGAACAAATCTGTAAAATGATCACAGGCTCCGGGAGTCCACGCTGCATTCCAGCTTCTAAACAACAGACTTTCACCCCTCCAAAATCATTTCTCCTTATCCATGTGAATAAACAGGAATAAATTACATGGAGAGGATTACCACTACCCAGAATAATCAACCTTGAATTCTCGCACACAAGCCAAAGGTAAAAATGCCACCGAGTTCAAAAGAAACGACGCAGAATCCGTGTACCCTTCACAAGGATGGAAAATTTTCAAATGGAGCCGAGCACGTTCCACAAACAGGAAGGAAGGTTCTCTCTCCGCCTTTTTATACTGAATCGTTAGCTGCCCTACACGTAAACAATCCGGGATTAAAAGCTGCATTTCACAGAGAAGTAGCCATTTCTAAACAGCTTTCCCCATCCAAATATTCTTTCAGTGCGCACAACGCGCTAATGCCAGAAGTGGACTTTCTGCAGAAGTTCACCTCGGCTCACAGCATGATCTACCTTAACGGCAACTCTCAAAAGCGGCAGAAGCAAACGCTGGCTAAAAACAAAATCCAGGGAGACTTCAGAAACAAAAGCATACCCGACCGTACTGCAGCAAAACCTTCTGACCAGATATTTTTCACTTCAGAGAGGAAGAAAATAGCAAACAGCAAAAAATTTCGGAAATGCTCAGTTTGCCATCCGCACACCACAAGTCAACTGAAACATCAGGACAAGTATATTTAGGGGAAATCACAAGCTAGGCTCCACATTTTTTCATATGTGCAGCCTGGACTCTGGGCACCTCCTCGCTGGTTTAACTGGGACCAAAATCCAGTGTTGGCCCAGGAGCCCGGTGCAGCCCTGTGTCCCGGCACACAGCACGCGCGCTGAGGTCAGCCAGAGTAGTGACGCAGGAGAGAAGCTTCAGGAGTGTTTTTTATTGCAAATAAAAGGTGCATCTCCATCCCCAGCGAGCCAGTGGTAGCACCCACACTCATGTCGGGGAGTGCGGGGCCGCTGACTGGGGCTTCGGCTCTTGGTGCTGCCCTTAAAGAACGAGCTGGATCCAAACTCAGCGGGCTGGGGGCGCAGCTCCGAGCTGCCTGCCCCGCAGCCGGCGGGGAGATGATGACCCGCATCGTTGGCAAACTGTACACCCTGTGAGCAGCACAGGTCGCTCTAACCCTGCCAGCCCTCTCCACCTCCCCAGGAAAGGTTTTTTTACAAGAGTAAGCTGAAGAATCTGTTGAAAGGAGCTCTAAGCTGCATCTTGAAGCTGTAGTTACTATAGCCAGCATCCCGGTCTTTCAGACTTGATCAAAAGAAATCCACTGAAAAGCAACCTTCAAGGTGAAAATACATTCTGTAATTAAAAATCTCTGCCTGTCTACACGCAGTCTGACGGGACGCAGACAACAGTCGCGGTGCCAAGGTCAGCGCAGGCAGAAAACGCCTACCTGAAAACACGTCTTCTGAAAAACTAAGAGGAAAACACATTACGTCCTTTTGAACGCAGAAAAGGACACGTACCCGGCTCATCCTCTCAGGTGAGCTTCAGGGAGGGGCTCACCCAGAGCCAGGACCCGTCCTCGGCCGCAGCCAGAACCACACACCAGTGCCACCAGCAGCAGTCGCTGCCCCCACAACTGACCAGCTGCTTTCTGTGACTCCAAAGGCAAGCACACCTACGAGAAAAACCTAAACTTTCATGGGGTGTGTGACTGTATCTTTCATGCGGTGTGTGACTGCAACTCTACAGCCCAGCCCGTAGGACGACATCAGAGCCCGAGGAACAGCCCGCTCAGGCAGCAGAAACCCAGCCATGGAAAGGAAGATAAACAGCACTCCTTTGGACATTTCCTAAAAGTCCTGCTGTTATTTTCTAAGATGCACAGATTCTGTCTCACAGGTTTGTAACAGTAAATTCCACAGGGGCTCTTTCAAAAGCATCTCGCTCCCAGGCAGTGGGAAGGGTGAGGAAAGATGCCACAGCGTGAATATGTGTACATACCCTTACTACTGGAACTATATCAAGAACCTACTTATTACCAGCCTTCTTACTACTGATTCTTAAAGAAGTTTTTAATTATTTATTATAAAAGCACATTATTTTTTATTCTAAACCAGGAAGAGTTCAGATTTGTGGGAGACTACCTACTGTACAGATGCACACACGCACACTGCAGCTTGGAAAAAAAAAGGTTTGGCCTTATTGCAAGCATTAAAGAATCATACCTACGTTAAGAACGCACAGTTACGCTCGCTAATATATTCACCTACGAGCTGGAACAGAAAAAGAACAGAAAAGACAACAGGAATGAAACTGCAGCTTTAGAGAGGCTGGCCTGAGGAGAGCAGAGTTCAGTATTTAATGCTACCAACGTTTCCTCTATCAGCTCAGGCAAGTCACAGACACGATCTGCCCTGATCCCCAGGCTGTGAAATAAAGCCGTATTTCTTTCTT